GACATTTTGCGTATCAGAGGGGTTGCCATTTTAGTCTGAATTTGCAAAAGTGACAAGGAGTCCTGTGGCACCTTATAGACTTAGGGTATGTCTACACTACCACCCTAGTTCGAACTAGGGTGGTAATGTAGGCAACCGGAGTTGCAAATGAAGCCCGGGATTTGAATGTCCCGGGCTACATTTGCATAAAGCCAAGCCCGGGATTTGAATTTCCCGGGCTTCATTTGCATAAAGCCGGGCGCCACCATTTTTAAATGTCCGCTAGTGCGGCCTCCGTGCCGCGCGGCTACACGTGGCACAGACTAGGTAATTCGGACTAGGCTCCTCGTGAAACGAGGAGTAATGGTAGTTGGGACTAGGAAGCCTAGTCCGAACTACCTAGTCCGTGCCACGTGTAGCCGCGCGGCACGGAGTCCGAACTAGCGGACATTTAAAAATGGCGGCGCCCGGCTATATGCAAATGAATCCCGGGAAATTCAAATCCCGGACTTCATTTGCAACTCCGGTTGCCTACATTACCACCCTAGTTCGAACTAGGGTGGTAGAGTAGACATACCCTTACAGATGTATTGGAGCATAAGCTCTGACAAAGCATCTGACAAAGTGGGTCTTTGCCCACGAAAGCTTATACTGCAATAAATCTGTAAGTCTATAAGGTACCACATGACATTTTGATACAGTTTTTAGTGCAGAATGCTGGGACATTAAACATTCAGTTTCCCTCAAACATTAGAAAATCTGAGTGCCTAATTTCCTCTCTTCCCACCCCCACAGAGACATAGACACACAGAGACACACCCCTATTTCATTCCCTGCATTCTGCAACTTTATCACAGGCATGAAACTGGTGTGACAGGTTTTCAATAGCGAACATACAAAATATGATTGACATTCACTGCTGGCATGCAATTTAAAACTGACAATTCTCTCAGTTAAGGAAACAGACTGTACCGTCCCTTCCCTAAGTAACTAATCATAGAATCATAGAATATTAGGACTGGAAGGGACCTCGAGAGGTCATCAAGTCCAATCCCCTGCCCTCATGGCAGGACCAAATACTGTCTAGACCATCCCTGATAGACATTTATCTAACCTACTCTTAAATATCTCCTGAGATGGAGATTTCACAACCTCCCTGGGCAATTTATTCCAGTATTTGACTTCCCTGACAGTTAGGAACTTTTTCCTAATGTCCAACCTAAACCTCCCTTGCTGCAGTTTAATCCATTGCTTCTTGTTCTATCCTCAGAGGCCAAGATGAACAAGTTTTCTCCCTCCTCTTTATGACACCCTTTTAGATACCTGAAAACTGCTATCGTGTCCCCCCTCAATCTTCTCCTTTCTAAACTAAACAAACCCAATTCTTTCAGCCTCCATTCGTAGGTCATGTTCTCTAGACCGTTAATCATTCTTGTTGCTCTTCTCTGCACCCTCTCCAATTTCTCCACATCCTTCTTGAAATGCGGTGCCCAGAACTGGACACAATACTCCAACTGAGGCCTAACTAGCGCAGAGTAGAGCGGAAGAATGACTTCTCGTGTCTTGCTCACAACACACCTGTTAATGCGTCCCAGAATCATGTTTGCTTTTTTTGCAACAGCATCACACTGCTGACTCTCATTCAGCTTGTGGTCCACTATAACCCCTAGATCCCTTTCTGCCTTACTCCTTCCTAGACAGTCGCTTCCCATTCTGCATGTGTGAAACTGATTGTTCCTTCCTAAGTGGAGCACTTTGCATTTGTCTTTATTAAATAAATGAAAATAGAGAACACAAATTCATTGATTGCAAGAGTGGTTTTGAACCCTTCAACTAAATCAGGTTTTGTAATTCAACATATCCACTACTTGTCTCTCTTGCATCCATTTTACACAGCTGTAACTCCATTCATTTTCGGTGAGCCTGCTCTAGATTTGCACCATCACAGCTGAAAACAAAATCCATCCCTCTGATCTGAAAGCTGTATGACATGTTTCTGTCTCAGAAGTGGATTTTCTTCTTTTATTTTCAAGTATTAATATTAATAAACTGCCTTGGATAGTGACAATATAAAATATGAATGAATACCAAGGATAGGCAGGAAGCTAAAAGCCCTTTAAGTAATCTTTTATTTATTCAGGATCAACTTTTGAAAGTAATTAGTTTTAAGAATACACAGTTTTAAGAATACTAACATTATAATTAGGCTATTTTGTCCTGGTTTTCCATTAGGGATATAAAAAATTAACCTGTTAACTGGTTACCTAGTAAGTGTTAGGCTTACTAGAATGCTTACTTGATAACCATTTAACTGGACTGCAAGCTGTGGGGATACAGCTGGTAGGACTTCAGCCAGACCAGAGCAACAGGCAGGATGATATGGTGGGCAGGCAGGATCCCAGCCCTGCTGTGGCGGCAGGGGCAGGCAGGACCCCAGCCTACCTGCATGTCACCGCGGTCCCGGCAGGGGCCGGTGAAACCCTGACCCCGCCACCACCACCCCCAGCCCACTCCAGAGGCCCTGACATGTCTGCCCGCAGCAACAGTAAGACCCTCCACCCTGGCTATCCTGCTCCCACCAACGGTTAACTGGTTAAATGATACAATTTACAGGAGGCCTAATCTATAATGTGTGGCATTATTAAAAAATAAAATGAGAGAACTGTATAATGTTGCACTCTGGTTATGTTACACAGAAATATGAGATAGACCATGAATGTGACAGTGGAGAGCTCTATCTTGCTAAACTAATCTCAGGTTTGATTGCAAATCTAGAAAGTCAACATAAATTAACAATAATTAAAACAAATGTAAACTTTTAAGATTAGCTAACCTAGTAAGGCCAACTTCATCAGCTTTGACAAACAAGGAGATCTAATTAAAAGTCACAGACCAAATGTTGCCTTCTCAGAATAAAATCACCTTATCATAAGAACTTTCTAATCCATAGAATTATGTATGGTAAGTAAACCATTTCACATTATACTCTGTCCCTGGCTGAAAAAGAATAAGAAACAGAATGTTTCTTTTTAGATATATGGGATCAGATTATCAGCAGGTATAACTCAGCACAGCTCTATGAAACTCAGTGTAGCTAGGGTGATTTTGATAAGTTAAGAATCTTGTCAATCATATTGTTGTAATATAAGATTTTTATATCCCTAAATGAAATTAAATCACTAACAATAAAGGGCATACAAGTTCAATGGTCCAACGAGAACACTACAACACAATGAAGTATGAATGTTTAGGAATTTGGGGGAGGGATCATGAAATGTTTCTAACAAATATAAAATAAACAGGGTTTTTTAACTCTATGGGTCAGCCACTGCCCAGATCCAAGACAATAATTTCTACTTGCACCTCCTGCTTCAGGAGCCATTTATGGTGTTACACTCTATTGACAGAGGCTGAAAGTGCTCAAACTTTTTTTTTTACCTGGTGCCCAAGAGGAACTTACACCTCCATGACTCAGATCATGCAAACAGATAGATGCAGAATGTGCAAATCAGTGCCAAAATCAGCTATTCATTCTCTTTATTATTCTGGGCCTGCAATGTGCTATCAGGTATCCTACAACAAGGGGTGGTGAAATACCAGAGATGTGAGACACAAAGCCAAGCCCAACCGCCTACAGAATTACCAACTGCCAGGCTATTAATAAAATTTTGAACTCAGGATATTTTATCTATTTACAGCCTTACAAAAAGCCTATATACATTGGTATTTACAATAAAAAATGTATACTAAGGAATTGAAAACACAGATCTCAGTCCTGAATTGGGTGCATGCAAGCTCACCATGATGACAGTACAGTCACATTCACACGCAGATCCATTTGCAGGATTGTGGCTATAAAGAGTTAACAACTTGAGCAGTCTTTAAAAAGTTGTTTAGCTTAAGATATCTAAATTCAGCATATTAAAAGGAAAAACAAAATTGTTTTCCACCAGAATCCAGATAAAAAGGTGTGAACATTTTAGGCCTGTCGCTCCTTTCACCTACACTATTTTAACTCCACTGACTTCAACTCAGTTACTCCTGATTTACACTAATATAGTTGGGAGGAGGATCTAGCCCTTCTTATACACCTATATCTAAACGCAGAAAGTGACTTCAGAAATGTAGTTCTATTTTGATTATTTGACCTGCTTCTTCTAATGTGTTAGGCCTTGTACCCCACCACAGGGCAGAAGGGACCTGAATGAAATAGGCAAGAGAGCAAACAAAAAATACAGCTGGGGAATAACTAGAGTGTTCAAGGAAAGGTGAAGAACTTTCCAGCAGCTGACTTTCAAGAGGGAAGGGTGGATGCCTGTGTACCTAGATGTAGGGCAGCTAAGTTCACACTGCTGACAAGAGCAGGTCACTCTCGAGGCGCATTGCGGGACACCTCCTCGTGGCCACTGACAGGCACAAAACCAAGTGCAGAGTACACGGACACTGTGGCCAGAAGAAGACAAAAAGTTCTGCTCCTCTCCTAGAGGGGGCCTTTGTTGGCAAAGCAGCAGAGTTTTGTCATGGGGAGGGGCACTACAGTGTGTACATCTCCCCTAACAAAGAACAGGGCTACGTAGCACTTTAAAGACTAACAGGTTGGTTTATTAGGTGATGAGCTTGTGGGCCAGACCCACTTCCTCAGATCAAATTGTGGAAGAAAATAGGCATGACCATATACACTAAAGGTCATGCCTATTTTCTTCCACAATTTGATCTGAGGAAGTGGGTCTGGCCCACGAAAGCTCATCACCTAATAAACCATCTTGTTAGTCTTTAAAGTGCTCCATAGTCCTGTTTTTTGTTTCAGCTACACCAGACTAACAGGGCTACATCTCTATCACTATTCTACATCTCCCCTGTTTGGTCGACAAAAGCTGCCTTTGGCCAATACAACTCTGTGGTGCAGACAAGGCCGTGCTTCCCTGGGGAAGCTGAGCCCCGTGGCACTCACTGCTGCAGAAGGCACCAGGGGCGTCACCTCCCCGCACACACATCCTACCCCGGTCCCACCCAGCCCCTACCTCTTCTGCATCTCTGCCCAGGGGGATGCCCAGGGCTTTCAGGCCCGCCTGCAGCTCGGCGATGTCCACTCTCCCGTCCTCATTGAGGTCCAGCTTCTTGAAGAGATTCTCGTACCGGGAGCTGTTGTTGGCTTCTTCGCAGGCAGCCTGGGGGAGCACCCAGCCCCGCAGGAACCGAAACATGGTGCAGCCGGCCGGGGGCGGGCGGAGCAGCGGGGAGCCGCGGGGGGGCAGGGGCAAGGGGAGCGGG